AGGAAAAGCTGTAGTTGAACCTTAAGGAGCCAGGGGTGAGGGGTCCTGACCCTACACCCAGTTGAAAATCTGTGTGTGACTTTATAACCAGCCCTCTAAATACATGGTCCCTCCGTATCCAAGATTCCGTCGCATCCGTGTTTTCACTTCCATGGATTCAACCAACCACAGACCATGTAGTACTGTAGCACGTGTTTATTGAAGAAAATTTATCTATAAGCTGACCCAGGTAGTTCAAACTTGTGTTATTCCCAAGTACTTTCAACTCATGTCACGGAGGGCTAACTTCTGGAATATAAAAGCTGTTCTACAAACCAGTAAGAAAACGATATGAGGAGAGAATTCACATAAAGTATAAGTAACTTAAATGCATGAAGATGTCAGTCTCCTGATGAGAGAAATTAACTCTGAAACTGCTAGGTCCGATTTTTCACCAGTGGGATTGGCAAAGATCCCAGAGCCAATCGAACACGGAGCCCATGGGCTCGCACGTTTCTAGTGCAAGTATAAGTTGGTTCAACCCCTGCAGAGGGCAATACAGCTGCTGTTACCAGAAGGTCAAGTGAGCGTAGCCTTGAAATTCCAAGTTTAGAATAGATGGCACTTTCACTTACGAGACATGACACGCACAGTGCATCATGATTTGCAGTTGCAAAGGCTGGAAATCTGTCAGTGATGTGTTAAATAAATTCTGATCCGCACGGTGGAGCACTGCACTGCCATGGAAACACGAGCTCCTTTGAACAGATACGGAAAAATCTATTATGCTGTTAAATAAAAAGTATGAAATACAGAGCAGTGTGCACAGAATGCTAACATTGTGTGAGAAGAGCTGATCAGCGGGCTATAAGGCTTCCTGACAAGGTGACAGGCTTGTGTCTTAACTGAGAAAATCCATTGCTTCAAAGCGCTCTATCCGCCACCTGCCCTCTGTGTTCCCCACTTCTAGTGGTAACTCTGGTTTCACGTCTTTATACTCTGTACTTGGGCAGAAAGCTTGGTGCTGCTGAGTAGTCAGTTAGCATAACTTTCCTTGTTTGTTTGAAATTTTTAAAAGGTCACCCTCATTCCCATTACTTCAGTGTGCCAGTGTGTGTCCAGTAAAGATTATTTATTCAAGAACATACAAGGTAGTAAGACTCACGTTTTTATTACTTCTCGTATGTTTCAGGGACAGACGTCTGCTCCAGCCTGCCCAGGTGTGTGACATCTTGAAGGGCGTCATTTTGGTCATTTGCTATTTCATGATGCACTACGTGGACTACTCCATGATGTACCACCTGATTCGGGGACAGTCGGTCATCAAGCTCTACATCATCTACAACATGCTCGAGGTGTGTGAGGACGCGCGTCCACCCGCCCGGTCTGCCCGGCCCCCCGCCTGCACGGGGCTGATGGGCGGCACACAGCCTCAGGTCTTCCAGTGTAGAGTGCTTTCCTGCCACCCCTGGGAATGGTGTTTGTACGGTCCGGGGGACCTTGTTAAAGTGCAGATTCTGATTTGGAAGATCTGGGCTGAGGCTGGAGAATCTGTCTAACGAGGTGGTGCCTGTGCTGCTGGACCTGGGACACACTTAGGGCAGCAGGTCCTCCGGGCATGACGTGTCCTCAAGTAGGGAGAAGGGACGTGTCGCCCAGACATTTCTGAGTCTGTACCGCTTTAGAATGTACACTGTCAAATGCTAGGGAAATTATTTTGCAAATTCATTGGAAACGTAGGTATACTTTATGCTAAAACTTTCAAATTTATGAAGAAAATATTAGGATTATGTGTATGTTGGCTATAATAGATTTACCTTTTTAATTTCTTTTAAATTTTTACAGAGAGCAAGTAAATGTAAGTTTCCCAATTTCTGTTAGTGCTTAACATTTGTAATACAATATGTCATGTTAAAGTAGTCATCATGTGAAAGCCTACATTTATACAAAAAATAAGCAGTTACTCAAAGCAAAAGAAATGCCTTACTTTATAGACAGAATCTTAGTAAGTTTTTAAAATAGTAAACTACCCTAGGCTATATAGTTAACTTTTGAGATTCAAATTGCGCTTTGCTATACTGCTTTTTAGGGACACAAGTAAGGTCTACCTGTCTTTTAACTTAGTCACAAATGAGTGTTCCCTAATGAATGAACACACGGGGTGAGGTGGGGGCGGCTGGCCTCTCTGCTCCGCTGAGGGGATGAGGGCCTTCCGTCTCTTCACAGAGGCCACAGAACCCTAGCCATCCTGGTTACCCCACACTCATTGACTGAGGTGGTTGAAAACCACACCACAGCATCCTGATCGTAGGCTCGTTGCTGTACACTCGCTTTGCCCCATCGAGTGAGATGCAGACGACGGCCATGGGTGCAGTTTGTGAAGCAGAGTAGCCGGGCTGCTCTCCCTGCCCTCCCCCACCGACCTCCCCTCCCCTCCCCCCAAGGAAGAAAAGCCTAAGCCTCCGGTGCTCGCTGGCTGGGAGCCGATCTTCACACCGGTGCCCCGCTGGTCTCCTTTCCTGCCTTCTCTCTGAGAGGATCGCCGGTGATGGGGCTTCTCCCTACCCTGAACCTAACACACCTGCCTCCTGATTTACAAAGTCCTCTGCAAGGTGGTGTCATTACTGTTACTAGGAAATAGACCAGGAAATGAATTCCTGATGAAAATGGTTTAAATACGTACCCACTTTGTAGACTACAGTTGAGGTGGTTTAGGCACAGTGGACGAGAGTCCAGGGCTTCGTCTGGAGGTAGACCCCCTCCCATCCTGGTTATCCAGCACACGGCTGCTGAACGACTCTAACCCCCAGCTTCTCACTCGTGAAATGGAGATGCCAGGGGAATTAGGAGGATTAAGTGAGACAGCACATCGAGAGGGCTTAGCACAATGCCGGGCATGTGGTAAGAGCTCCCTGAAGGGCAGCTCTTACTCCTTCATTCAGCAAATATGCCATCAACACTTTGTGCTTGCCAGGCACTGCCTTAGACCCTGAAGGTCCAGATGTGAACAAACCCTAGTCTTGTACTCTACAGCTGGTAGAGGACAGTAAACTAGGAGGTATTTGGAAATGATAATTACCATGAAGATGAAGAACAGGGTTGACACGTTAGACACCATGGGAGCCCCGAGATTGGAGGGTCTGGGAAGTCCTGTCTTAGAATGTGACATTCCAGCTGAATCCTGAATGCTATGCCCTCCTTTCTCTGTTATGTGCCTTTTTATTTATCACACTATATGCATGGAGGTCAGTACTTGAAAATGTCTTTAGGAAGCAAGGCTGCATACTGTATGCTGTGTGATAAACCTTAAACAAATTGTTGTTTACAGATACTAGGTGTGTGTAGAATGGGTCAAATGATATGCTTATCCTAAAGGATTCAAGTTTGAATCCTGAATTTGAATTTAAAGAGTTAAAACCAGAGGAGCTATGATTTTGATATATTGTCTCCCTTTTATTTTTGCTACTACGTAAGACTTTCCTTGTTACAAACATAGCTAATTAGACAGTGTAACTTAAATAATATAAAATTTGAGCACACATTTTGTGTCAGAGAATAAGAAAATTTAAGTAAGTAAACAAAGATCCCTGTTCTCTTTTGGAGCTTACCTTCTAGTGGGATTTAAAAAGTCAGGGGGAAAAAAAAGAAAACAACAAAAAATAAATAAATAGAAAGTCACATCTCCAGTACTTGAGTTACCTCTGAAGTTTAGTCAAATATTCAAATGGAATATTAAGAAACACCTTTCCAAAATTTTTCTCTCTAGGTGGCAGATCGTCTGTTTTCATCATTTGGACAAGATATATTAGATGCTCTCTATTGGACCGCAACAGAGCCCAAAGAAAGAAAAAGAGCCCACATCGGGGTGATTCCTCACTTTTTCATGGCCGTTCTCTATGTCTGTATCCTTTTAGACTTCTTGGAAATCCCAAGCATCAACGTGTAGTCTACATCGTTCTTTTTGGTTAGCTATTTCTCAGTTCTGAAGATGTGTGTGTGTGTGTGTGTGTTAAAGATAAATGTGAAATGTCTGCTCTCTTTTGAGAAGTTGGTTCTAGCAGTACAGTAGACCTTGAACAACGTGGGTTAATCCAAGTATAACTAATAATCAGCCCTCCATATCTGAGGATTCAGCCAACCACGGACCATATAGTAGCTCAGTAATCACCACTGAAAAATACATGCGTGTAAGTGGGCCCATGCAGCTCAGGCCCATGTTGCTCGTGGGTCAACCGTGACTGTCAGTTAATTTGAAGAGCCTCATGTGTGCAGGACCCTTGAACTGCTAGAAAATAGTTCTCTTCTCAGTGTAACTGATTGTAAGGAAGGGTTTTAGAATAAAGGGTTAGTCTATTTATACATACTTTACATTGTATAAATCTATGTAACTTTTCCATACTTATATTAGAACTTTTTTGACATTATCTTTAAGCCTGTGACTTCTTTGTTATAACTTTCAGCTTAAAATGTATACAGTTCTTCTAAAGTAAAATTTGAATTGATTGGGGAGGAATTTTGGAGATTTGATTTTCCCCTCCAGCACCCGCATCTGAAAGCTTTTCTTCTGGAGAGGAGATGCTTTAGTCTGTAACCCGGTGTGCAAATGTGTGTGTCCATGCATCTGTATTTACACACACGTGCAGCCTGCACTTACGTTCCATGTGGAGTCAGGACTCGTTCATAGGACGGTGTCATGTGATTTTTTTTGTACTGTCTCTGAAAGATGCTTGAGAGAATTGGACTAGTATTTGGGAAGTTAAAGGACCATGTGGGAAGATTTCTTTGAGAGTAGAAGCTTGTTCTAAGTGTAAATGGAGTAAAAAGTACTGTTCTAATTAAAGTAAACTATTCCATATGTAGTATGAGTATAATTCTACAGCTTGTGGCTGCTTCAAAAAGGACATCTGAGGAAGAGTCTTAATTGTCAGACATTCCTTATTATCTCTCTCTCCCCATCCTTGAAGAACCGGAGAGGAAAATCACTTCCAGAATAACTTTTACTTTGTGTTCTTTTCTCTCTTAAAATGCAAATTTTCTTAATTCGGAATGTGTATATCTAAGTCTCTTCTTTCAGTATTTACCAGAATTTATTCGTTTTATTTAATAAACTTTTCTGAGGTCCTATTTCCCAAGCATTGTACGAAATGCCAGAGCTCTAGAAAGATCAACATAGCCATTTTCCAGAACTCACAGTCTAAGTGGTTGGAGGCACAGAGGTTCATTTCTGCTTTTGTTTATTTCAAAATGGGTTGCATATATCTTGTCCCATCAGATTTATATCAACTAGAGCTGATGGGGAAATTACAAAGAGAATAAAATGCTTCTGTAAGACTTGATTTAGAAAGCATAGTCACCTTTTTCCCCATTATAAACTTTTAAGATTTTATAGTATTACCTATTAACATAAACTGAAAACAGACTTAAGTTTTCTCCTTGACATCACTTACTGCTAGTTTTGCATGCAATTCTTATAATGGTTCAAGCAACAACTCTCAACGTAGCTTTCAACTCACACAACAAGTCCCTGCTTACTATCATGATGTCTAATAATGTAAGTATGAGATTTTATTTCACATTTTTGAGGATATATGGGCACTTTAACGGCAATATTCTAGATGGGACAAAATTACTTTTTCTAAATGTTATTTATTCTCTAGGTAGCTCTATGAGTAGCATGTCCATTTTCAAACTGTTATACTGATGACAATGATGTCTGTGTTTACTATTTCAGTTTGTTGAAATTAAAGGAAGTGTTTTCAAGAAGTTTGAAAAGAACAATCTTTTTCAGATGTCAAATAGCGGTATGTACAATTAGATCCTACCAGCAGCGTTTTGCAGCATTGTAAGTCATTCTAAAACTCTGATGCCACAGTCCTGTGGGCCACTGTTTCTCTGACCTAAGTTGTGCTTTCTCATTCTCTCAACATCTTTACTAAGTTTTTTTTTAATTACTATTACTTTGCTTATTGTAATCTCAGGATGTTTAAGATAATGTTTAAAAATCACAGGCATTTGTGTAGCACTTTACCATACTTGCAGAAGCTTCTCATTAATCTCAGAAATTCCTTGGAAACAGTTAATACTATTTCACTTTATGGCTGTGGAAACTGAAACACAGAGAAAGTAATTGACTTCGCCAAGGTCACTCACTTAGCTACTAAGAGCAAACTGTGACAGTAAACTTCAGGTTGTCTCTTGGTTCTTGGCTTTTTCAGTTTGACCTTCCTTCCTCCTTTCTAAGAAGTGTGAAGGCACAAAATTTATCCCTGGAAACATTATCTTACATAGTTAGGAAAATCAGAGGAGCATAGTGTCTTAGTTCTCAAAGTATGGCCCATGGAACCCTGAAGGGGAGTCCCTGAGTCCCTGAGTCCCTGGAGGGAAGTCTGCAAAATCAAAACTGTTTTCATAAGAATATGAGGATATTATTTATCTCTTTCACCATGTTGCCATTTGCACTGTGGTAAAAATGGGGGGTCAGTGGGGAGTGGAAGCCAGAGAGAGGTCACCACACACCCACTGGAATAGCTGGCCCTGTAGCCTGACGATGCTGAGCGTCAGTGAGCTTGGGGAGTGACTGGCATTCTCATGTGTTGGATGGCGCGAGTGTAAAATACTGCAGCTACTCTGGAAAGCCTTCCGGCTGTTTCTTGTATGTTTAAATATTCACCTATCCTGTGTTCTCATCAGTGAGGACACATTTTCACTAAAAGACTTGTACAAGAGTTATTATGGCAGCTTCGCTCATAACCAGAAACTGGCAACAACCCAAATCCTCCTATTAAGAAGAAAGTAGATAAATAAATTTTGTTATGTCCACGCTCCTCAGCAATTAGAGAAAACTACTGGTACACTCATCTGTGTGGACGTGTCTCAGAAGCCTTACGCTGAGTGAGAAGAGGCCGGACACACAGAGTGCATACTGTGTGGTTTCATATATACGAGGTTTATGATCAGACAATGAATTTATGATGATAGACGAAGAAGAGTGCTTGCTTCCTAGGGCGGGGATAGGCCGGGACAGGGGCGGTACAAGGGAACGTGCTGTAGTGATGGAACCGCTCTGTGTTTTAATTATGGGGATGGTGACCTAGGGTATGTATTCATCAAAACTTATCAGATTGTACACTTAAGAGTAAAATTTCACTGTGTATAAACTTTACCTCTGTGTTAGACAAGGAAAATAATGGCGTATGAATAAATTAAAGCGAATGAATGTTTAGAGCTATAGGAGATTTGAAAACTAGGCTAGAAACAAAAAGAAGAAATGAAGAACTTCCGACGGTTCTGCGGGACAGCGACAGAACGTAGGTCACAGAGCTCTGAGGGGCAGTCTGGGCTGTGTCTCTCTGTGCAGCAGCGTTCTTCCTCAGGTGTGCGCTGCCCAGCCCTGTGAACCTGAAACGAGAGAGGAGAGGAGGGGAGGGCTATGTTATAGGATTTTTTTTTCTCAGCTTCAAGAATCAATTATACAATATGTTAATTCAACTATAAAAATTTCACTTGTAGCAGAAATCATTACTTTTATTAGTACCCTGATTTTAGTAGGGTCTCTTTATAGAGCTTTAAACTAGACAAGCAGTTCTTTAAGTTTTAAGTGTTTTCAGCCTTTATATATCATGAGGAGGAGATTATGAACGATTTTTAACCTTATCACTTATATGTTGATGTAATTAATATCCCCTTTTCTTTCTTTTATGAGCTGGTCCCCCAGATTATAATTTCTTACTTTAGAAGGATTAGAGACTCAATATTTCAATTTTAAGAAAACTCTGACAACAGCGCATGTGGACCAGGCAGTGCGTATCAGTTTACCAGAAATTCAGGAGTATATTTTGGCTTAGAATGGTTAGTAACCAGCATGAAAAGTTTTACTTTTTATTAAAGGTAAAGTAGTTCATGTTACAGTGCAGGGTGCTCTGCATTGTGCTGCCTTCTGTCTTCAGCAAGTTTTATAAGAAATTAATTTTACCTCGGGTAGCTTTTAAAACCCATTCCCAAGTAAGAAGGAAAAATCCGTCCTAGACAATCTCGCTGGTGTTGCATGTGGTGCTCAGATACTAAAGGGGTGGATAAGGAGTCACTGAAGCCTGCTTTTCACAAGGTGACTGAGTTTATTGCCTCCTCCACCTGCATTAGCAGCTGTGAGATGAGAACCAGCCCAAAGGATGCCGCTGGTCACACACCAGCTCCTTCTTTTCCTGTGAATTTCTCTGAGACACTGAGCTGCTGTGTGTGTAGGATCAAATTCAGTGCCTCATGCTAGTTTACTGTTGAAAACTTGGTTTGGAAATTTTAGTGACTTTATCTATTTCAGCTTATTACCTGACTGTACGGTTTCTTTAAGGGAATTGCCTGAGGACACATGAAATGGAGTTTAGTTAATAAAACCCAGCTTTCAACAGTTTATTTTTTCTTTCACTTCATGTTAGTGTGTGTACCAGAGTATGGAACCTAGGCCTTTCCGATTTGCATTCTTAAAATGAAAATTTTTATGCCGTAATAACCTATTGATAATGTGAACTGTACATTCAGAAAGATCCTGCAGGAGTTACATTGATCTGCACTCAGGTCCCATCCCAGGGTGCTTCTGTTTCACTCAGCATAAGCCTGTATAACTGCATTAACTTGAATGACTGTTGAAAGTGAAATAGTTACTTATTTCCCATTTAAAATGCAATTGTAACTACGTTAAAGTATATCCCCCTAGTGGTAACATAGAAGAGAAAAGGGAGCTTCATAATCTGCAGATCAGAAATTTTTTTAAAGTATTAGTCACCAGTGTTTTTAAGCTCCTTAATAATGGTTGAGAGAAAACATTTCCATTTTGATAGAAGTTTTCATTTTTTAATTAATGTAAGAGTTCTGTCCAAGTCAAAACTTTGTTCTGAAGATGAGATATGATGTAAATAAGTTGTTAATTGCCTTGTTTATCTAGTAAAAATGTTAGATTATCATTAGAATCTGTTATTTTCAAAAAAAACTTCATTTCCTTATGTAAGGTTTTATTTCATTCTGGAGTAACTTTTTCAGAATTCTAGTATGCTTTAATAATGCTCAAATTTTAAAAGTCAAATCTTGGCTTCAAAATGTATGTAAATCATTTAAATGTAAAAAAAAAGTAAATTGTGAAAGTACAAAAATGAAACTTTTTAAATATTTGCATAACAACCTCATTTTTGTAGTTAGATTGATAAATAAGTGCTTTTTTGTGCTGCTTTTCTTTTTAATCTTTAAACTTAAACCACTTTTCATATCCCTCATAGTATAAAATTGCATTTATCTACCAAAAGTTGCCAGTTTTTATTAATCTCTACAGTATTTTGAAATAGTCTGCTTTTCTAAAATCTATTTTGCCTTGAATATTCCCCTAAGATGGACTTTCACTCCTTTTATGGTGTCCTTAGAATTGAAATGATTATGGGTTTCCTCTATGCTGCCACCTGCCCTGTGTCCAAGAGTCAGATGTGATTGATTTAAACACTGCTATTGTTTTTGTTTTATTAGAGTTTTTAAAATTATGTTGGCTTGTCTCAAATAATGTTTTCAGTTTCTCAAGGTGATTTCTTTCCAGATAATTCTACAGTGAACCAAATCAGTATCATATGTCCCTACTTAGTAGGAGGGTCAGAAATAAGTACATTTCTTTGCTAAATTTGTTTATAGAAATTAGAAATTCAGGGGACTTAACACAGTATTGATGCAGCTTTGTGAATGATTTTACAGAATTCCATTAAAGGTACTTTGACAGATTTACTTAATCCCATGAAGTAAGTTCCACAGTTGACTATACATAAATAGCAGAGGATAAATTTTGTTTTAGATTATGGTGGAAATTGTTTTAGGACAGACTTTTCCTAGCTTCCTTTAACCAGTGTTCCCTTTTGACATCACAAAATAAGTTGAACATGTGATCTAGAACTAGTCACACCATGTGTACTTTTTTTTTTATTGAAGTACAGTTGATTTACAGTGTTGCGTTAATTTCTGGGGACAGCGCGGTGATTCAGTTACACAGCTGTTACAGGGTTCCCTGTGCTGTACAGTTGGACCTTGTTGTCTGTAACACGTGTTCGTTAAACTCCTGCACGTGCTTCCTTCAAGGGGGCATGCCTGTGCTCTTCACCTCGAGACTCCTGTGCTGTGAGTTTATACCCCAAAATATGGTATTTCACAGGAAGTGACTCTCCAGTTTTCATACTAGAACAGCAAGTTGTGCCCACTGGCTTTTGAAGAATTAAGGAGACAGCTCAGACTCCTTATAGACAAGGGCTGGGATCTGAGCTCCCCTAGAAAAGAGGTGTTGCGACTGACTGGGAAGCAGTTAGGCATTTCGGGAAGGCACACAGCTTGGTTGCGGAGACTGGGTGTAGCTGTAGATAAGAGTCCAGATCATTTGCTGTAGAGCAACGGAGAGCAGCCCCAGGAAGGGCTTCAAGGTGAAGCTGAAATGCAGAGGGCTCTGGGGCCCCATGGGAGGCCCTGGATGACCGAGGTGCTGAGCTATTAGGGGAATGACAACAGATGCATACAGGTGTTCGAGATGGTTCCTAGGCACGTGATGGCTTCTAGCCACAGCTCCCATCGCTGCATAGACGCAGCACGTGGGCATGGCAACTGACTGTACTTCAATTAAAAAAATAAAATAAACCAGCAAACAAACAAAAAATACTACAGAGCTACAAAAAATCAGAACAGCGTGGTAAAAACAGACATGGATCAATGGAACAGAATAGAGAGCCCAGAAATGAACCCACAGACTTGGTTAATTAACCTTCTACAAAGGAGGCAAGAATGTACAATGGAGAAGAGCCTCTTCAGCAAGTGATGTTGGGGTAACTGGACAGCAGCATGTAAATCAGTGAAGCTAGAACACTCCCTCACACCGCACACAGGGATAAACTCAGAATGGCTTAAAGACTGACATATAAGACAAGACGCTCACTGCAGACGTGGATTTATTTCATTCCATTTCTCTATTACAGCGTATCTTAGACAGTGATAAGGTAACAGCTTAAAGAGTGAACTGTGTAAACTAGCCTTTAGCAGGAATTTAGTTATTTGCTTTTTTTAAATTCATTCAGGCTAAGCTCAGAGTACTTAGTAACTTATGGTAAATATCCTCTTGAAATCTAATTTTGAGCTTGTTTCACTCCCGTAATTCCACATACACCCTAAGAAATGCTATTGTAATACTGATGCTTTCTTGGCTAAAGAATTTACAGGTTGGTACTTGGGTATTTACTATTCACCAGATTGGAAATAATGTAGAAAGCAGGGGTTTTATATTACCCAGAGTCTTGTATTTTGCTTTCTGCTTCTATTTTTTCCTTTGTCTGTAAAATGAAAACTTTCCATATGTCCCTGAAGACTGTTGGAGGAATCTGACTCAATCTGAGCAGATTGATGGTTTGAGTATTTTATGAAGTTTGTAGAAAACTGGAATTTCCATACTAGAATTATGTTAGTGAAAGAAGTAAATGGCTTAACCAGTGTAGCACCACCTGCATTTAAAATAGTATATTTATTTTACAGACATTTACACATAAAATAATAACTTTATCATGTTCTGACTAAAGGAAAATTATTTTACATATGTACTAAATTATTATGTTATTTATATGCACTATAGTATTTGTTAAATTTTTTTCAGATATTAAGGAACGATTCACAAATTACGTGCTTTTGCTAATAGTGTGTCTAAGAAACATGGAACAGTTTTCTTGGAACCCAGGTAAGTAACTCTTAACAAATACAATGCCTTCTAATTTTCCTCGAACCAAAAAGCATACTTTTCATGGAATAAAGTGAGTGTTGCAGAAAACTTCAAAAACCTTTAGCTGTTGCACTCTCTCGGTCCAGTAGGTGGGTTGAGTGTGCTCCGTGGGTGGTGGGGACCTTTGGCTCCTCGTTTCCCACGAACCACCCGACGTCTCTAGAGCTGCGTCCCAGGGTCGGGTGGACCCTGCTGGGCACTGCAGCCGCCAAGCCTCTCGGCTTATTTTTTGTCCGTGGTGTGCTGTGGCTCTGTGAGTACAGTCTGCTCTTTCTCGTTTTAGGGGTTCACCAGGAGCCCCTAACATTTGTCTTTTACTCATTCACTGCCTATGAATTAGCATTTTGAATGAAGATAAATAGAATGTAAGCAGTAAACTTTGTTACTTATACATCTCTGAATCAAGGCTGACCAGAAGTAGTTGTGATTCCATGAATTTTCGTCAGTTCTTCAGCCAGCAGACATTCACCGTGTACAGTCCGTGCTGGGCGCTGTGGCGCAGGTGCAGGGGACTGAGATAGTGAGGGACTCGGGCTCATAGACGAAGTAGACAGGTCATCGCAGTCTGGTGGCACTGAAGTGAGCTCGGTGGAAATGATCCGAGAAATTTTTATGTCTGGCATTTTTGTACAGCCTTGTTCTTAAGGACGAGATAGTTTTGCAGTTTATTTAATACTCCCAATACCATGCATGTTAAGGGATTTAATACCTTCTTATTAATTTATTTAGATTCATTGCTAGTTTTCAAGTATGTGTGAAAAATCAGAAACAGATGCAGAATGAGATAAATGATCTTAGAAATACATTTCCAGACATTGTTTTCTTATAGAAACCTAAACTCAAATGATGTATCTTACAGTGGCTTGAATTCTAATCGGAACAGGTCCAAAGGCTACTTGACTTGTGGAGGCAAAGCCCCTCCTCCACACACACACCCAGATTCTATGCGTATCTGAATCCTGAGTTTGTAACCAAGGCAGCTAACAAAATGTCCATGGCAGACAGAGTAGTGGGCGTGTGTGGCTGGTCCCAGCAGAGCCCACAGGGGTCAGCAGTCCCGAAGCAGGGGTATGGTGCCGGAGGACAGCAATCCCAAAGCCTGCTGACAGCTGGATGTTTGAAGTCATGTTCTCACTTGTACTTAACTTTCAACAAATTATCTTACATTTTCTTCATCACTAATGTGCACAGAGTCTGATAAGAGGAACACATCTTTGTTGATAAATTCATCTTTCTTCCATTCTTTTTTAGTTTTTCTTAAAAAAATTTTTTAAACCAAAATACCACTTATGTAATCTTGCCTAAGCTCCCAAGATGGTGCTGAACATATAAAACCAGCACTAGCTTTTTGTGTGCCGGGCCCACTGCTCTGCATGTACATCGTCGTCTCATCTAATTCTCCTGATGGTGACGTGTAGGTATTTTATCTTGTAGCTGAGGAGACTGGCACTTAGATAATGGCCCATGTCATCTAGCCCGTCGGTGGCAGAATTTACTGTTGAAAGAGGCTCCCTGATTCCCCAAACCTCAGCGTGGCGTCAGACTCGCTGAGACGTCCTCGCCTGTCCCGCACCACTGCCTGTCACCACCGCCTCCCAGCTGCCCAGGTCCCGGACTGCCTGGTCCTCGTCAACATTTCTGACCTTTTTCTTTCTCTGTCCCACTTTTATATCCTTTTTCAAGGTCTAAGGAGGTTATTTGTTTGCATCTTTTATCAGGTACTTGGTACTAAGTTGAAGTTTTAATACATATGGTAAAGGTGAGCAAATTTGATAAATTATATCTATAAGACAGTGAAACAAATAATTGATCAATATCTTTAAGTCATAGTGACCAGGGAGGGAAAAAATATTGTCCACTTGACTTAAGCACATGTTCCTACTAGTTATTTACTGTCACACTGAGGCAGCCAGAGGGTCACAGGATTTTACAAGGAGCCTGGTCATGACAGCAATCGTCCCCTGCTGGCCCGGGAAGGCAGCCAGTGCCCTGCTCACCGCTGGGCCCCTCAGGTGGTGCTTGACACAGAGAAGGCACAGGATAAATACTTGTTGAATGACTTACCCTTTTTTTTTTTTAGCATTGAGGGTTTTTTTTTATTTTTTAACAGTTTTTATTGAGCTACAATCATTTTTCAATGTTGTGTCGAAGAGCACAATTTTTCAGTTATACATGAACATATTATATTCATTGTCACATTTTTTTCTCTGTGAGCTACCATAAGATCTTGTGTATATTTCCCTGTGCTATACAGTATAATCTTGTTTATCTATTCTACATTTTGAAATCCCAGCCTGTCCCTTCCCACCCCCCGCCCCCTTGGCAACCACAAGTTTGTATTCTATGTCTATGATTCTGTTTCTGATTTGTATTTATGTTTTGGGTTTTTTTTTTTAGATTCCACTATATGAGCGATCTCATATGGTATTTTTCTTTCTCTCTCTGGCTTACTTCACTTAGACTGACATTCTCCAGGACCATCCATGTTGCTGCAAATGGCGTTATGTTGTCGGTTTTTATGGCTGAATAGTATTCCGTTGTATAAATATACCACCTCTTCTCTATCCAGTCATCTGTTGATGGACATCCGTGTCTTGGCTATTGTAAACAGTGCTGCTGTGTACATTGGGGTGCAGGTGTCATCCTGAAGTAGGGAAATGACTTATCTTTTAAATTTGGCTTTTTTGATGATTAATTGAATGCTGGTTCTCTCTGTTACCACTTGTTGAAAACATTACAGTCTTGCCCTGTGGAGATTTCTGACATCTGCCATGGTGGCCTGTGATGGGATATTATGGACTCTGTTCATTCTCAGAGATTTAATTGTCTCTTTTCCCTCCACTTTATAGATCATCTCTGGGTGTTGTTTCCAGATGTCTGTATGGTGATTGCATCGGAAATCGCTGTGGATATTGTAAAACATGCCTTTATCACAAAGTTTAATGACATTACTGCAGATGTAAGTATTTCAATAAGCAATTCAATGTTTAGTGTTGACTTCTGATTAATAATAGAAAGCTGTAGAGTAGCCAGTTTAAATTTACTGCATTTATGAAGATAGTAGGAGAGTACTACCACTTTAAAGTTAGAATTATAATTTTTAATTTCTAAAAATAAATATACTACTGAAAGTACATTGTTTCAGTATTAAACAGTGGTTCCATACCTTTGGATGGAGAAATAGATTGGCCAGTAGCTGAGGTTAGGGTGTGGCTAACTGAAAATCATTATAAACTGATAATACCATCATAGTCTGTTTACTTAAGCTTTTAAAAATCACATTGTTTCTATTTAAAACATCAATCAAAACTTTTCTCTCTGGCTAGATTTTTTTTAATATTTTATGTTTAAAAATTGTTTTTTGTGTGTGATTAAGAATAGGTTTCTGATAAGCTCTAGAAGACAAGAGCCTTACGTTTTACTAGTGGAAACATTTGATGGAACATTGAGAAATTTGTTTTCTATTGTAACCAGATAGTCTGTAGAATTTCCAGAAATAGATATGTGGCTCTAGGCTCATTGTAAACAAAACATCAGCTAGTTTTCTAGTGCATTTCTCAATCCTACCTCAGGCCCAAAATGAACAGTAATGTCACCAGTTGTCTAGATTTGATTTGGATTGTACTTTGTCTTACTCTGATGCTTTTTGTTTTATTTCAAAAGGCAAAAATTTAAGTTGTAATGCAGTTGCAACTGCATCAATATGATGATTGGATTATGGGGTTTTTGAATGTTTTCATATACTTGAGTAAAATATGATTTTGCACTTTTTTTGCAAAGCACTGATAAAGTAATTTCACCCTTTACTCTTCTCAGCTTCCTCAAAGTAGAAATCCCTTTTCATGGAATCATTTTCTCAGCATCTGAAGTCAAAATCAATAGGCTTGACTTAAATACTTAGTGCAGTTTTCAGTGGAAATGATAGTTTACAAGTGCCTTCATAACCACTGTGTTCCCTAACTCAGGTTTACATCAGGCTTAGCATTCATTTTTCTAAGAAGACATCATTATTGTTAGATATACAATAATAAATGTTTAAACTGTTCATTTAATTTAAAATTTCAGAATTATTTTGTATATCTTACACTACTTAAAAGAAACACTCTTCCCAAAATTCTGAACTCTCAGGATCATAATCATTGAATATTTATCCCTCTTTGAAGAGAAACCTTTAAAAGGCCTGAGAACATAACAGTTGGGGAATTGAGGCTATGTTTTACCCTTTTTGTAGGAAAGCAAATAGAGAAACACTACCCGGATGCGGCTTGGTCATTACACACTCCTCCTGGCTAGCTATTGAACATTTCATCTACAGAGTAAATCTTTCCACGTTGTATATTTGCACTGTATTAATGCTTCACTCTTACTTGCCTTTAGGTCTACAGTGAATATAGAGCCAGCCTCGCTTTTGACCTTGTTAGCAGTCGACAGAAGAATGTGAGCATTATATCAAAGACGTAGTCTGAAATTAACCAAACAGTGGTTTGATTTAGCATGGGATATTATTTAAGGGAAAGCTATCGTAAATTTAAACTTCCTACTTATCTCTGTTCTTGACACTAAATGTTTATGAAATAATAAAAATAATACTAATACTTACTAATACTTAACATTAAATAGGGTATGATTTCTGCAGCTCTGGAACAGTTATGCAACTTTGTATTTTAAACTTCTTATAAACATTCAGATTTCCATATCACTTCACTAAATTACGTAGTAGGTGCTAGGTTCTCTTCTTGCTCATGGCCTCACCTGTTTAGAACATTTACTGGTGGTGAGTGAATAGTACTTTTTAAATGCTGTTTAAATCCCATAAATCCTGTTCTCCTTTCTCCGTCTAGGCGTATACTGATTACAGTGACTCCGTGGCACGGAGGATGGGGTTCATTCCTCTCCCACTGGCTGTTCTAGTAAGTCCAGACTTTTTTCCCTTTTTTATGATGAGATGACTATCATTACATACAGAATATCAATGAATGGATTATCAATAAGCTTGTTTCGGAAGGACTTGATATAAAAATGAAAGGTAAATGACTTAGAAGGAAATTCTGTTTTAAATTTGAAATGTAAATAGTACTATCCTTTTGGATTTTAAGTCATATTAAGGCATTATTTTATGTGATGGCTTTCCCAAAAGTGAGAATATTCATTTTTGCTCACTCATTTGGCAAAGATTCTTCTTTTTGACTGGAAATACCTAGTGGTAAGCATTGATGTGACCACTGTAATGCATATGTGTGGAAATGTAAGTTGACCCAACACTCCTAAGGGGCAGTGTGACAGTGTCACACTTTGATGAATTAATTCCAGTTCTAGGAATTTACCTAAGAAAATAGTTACAGAAGGTACATGATGATTTATAGGCAAGATTATGCACTGCAGCGGCATTGATAGTAGTAAAAATTTGGAAACAAATGGAATAGATTAAATAAATATAGTATGTTCAAATGAAGAAATATTCTGTATTCATTATAATTACTACTTATTAAATTTTTTCAAAGTTTTTACAAGGACAGTTTCTACTGATATACACAGGAAATATCATATATTTTTAAATAATAGCACTGAAATTTACTAGGTCCACCAAAAAAAATCATCTTCTTCAACTTCATCAACTTCAAATATTTTAATGAATTGCTCAGAACAGCCAGCAAATAGTTACTAGCCACATCAGGCTGTCATAATGTTAATTAAGAAGATTTGCTGGCTGCACTTAAATTTGATTATATTCCTTTTTGGCTACCTATTTTCGCATCAAAACAAATGCAACCATCTTTTTCCCAAAGGACACCTGGAGTTCTCCTATAATGCAGAGTCTCATGGAAATCAACTAAGAGATGTATAAAGAAGTTGTAGGTCATATTAACTGTATTTTAGACCAGCTTGCCTAACTTTTTTTTTAGAGGATCAGTGACCAATAGATTTGTTATTTAAATTTCAGCATGACTCTCCAGAAAACATCCTAAGTGTTTTCAACTGTATTAGTAGCTTATTTGTTATATGATAATATAGATTTCTTTTGCTTGGGAAAAGGAACTCCTAGAATTTTAGAAAAACAGGGGATTTTATAGGGTAAAATTATATGTTAAAAATTTAAGAGATTGATAAAATAGAATTTTGAATTTCTCTACGTTTGTTTCCTGCAACTGGAGAAAGGATATGTGCAGTGTGAGGACAAACATGGTTGCCTGACTTTACTTATTTTTTAAGGGATTGGTTAAGTGGTTGGATTTAAATGTGGCCCTGCTTTGCCAAATAATAATTATTTATCCAGTAACATTTTTGCCCAAAGCCTCTATTCATAATTAGTATGAATTTTTTAAATTCCTATTTTTTAGATTTTTTTTCAGTCTTTGTTTTATTCTTTAAATGAGTTTTTATAGTTGTTATACAAAAAGATTTAAGCTTAATTAATAATTGATTAGCAAAACACTTCTGGAAAATCTCCTGCAGCCTTGAAGGGGACTGTGTAGTTACGCAGCAGTGCAGCAGGTCTGTTTCACAGCTTGTTTCTCGCAGCGCCAGTGCAGCGCTGCAGCTTTGGCAGACGTCCGGGGGCCTGAGGAATATGCAGAGGCCTCAGTAGCCGAGTTAATTCTTTAACTAAGACTCGAGAGTGGCAGTGTTTCCTTCTAAATGTTACCTTAGATCCTAGAATGAATTCATAGCCAAGAAGAGTGGAATAAATCATGTATTAAGGTCTCATGGAAATTAGATTTGGACATATGTATCTTAAAGTTACCTAATAGTATGCTCGATAAAAGTGAAGTCATTTAAGCCTTGAATGTGATCATTGGTTTGCCTTTCATATTAATGAGTAAAGTTCTAGAGCCATGTTAATTCCATCACAGATGTTCGTACAACAGGTCATTTCCCCGTTAGAGACTGTGACAGAGATGGGGACTTCTGTATCAGTTTTCTCATCAGGAAATTTTACTGAACATATGGCAGTCTGCTCTGTCTGTCTCCTCCCAATTGTTCTTTTATTAAGCATTTTTAAAATATTTTAAATGTATCTTGTGATATTTATTAAGAGATTCTTCCATTTGATGATAACATTACTGGGTAAGGTCAGTCATTTTCCTTGATTTTCTGTTTTCACATAGCAGTCCTCCTATATCCCAATATATGGGCACGTTATTAAGCTGAACCTATGATGTGTAAACATTTCCCATCAATAGATCCCACCAGATTCATTCAGCAGACTTCCAAAAATAGTGCTATTACACATGTTTATGTGAGATAAGTAAGAAAATAGCTATTTAATCATAACTATCCAAAAGAAACAAATCTTCTGGCCTTCAAGTAATTAATTTTGTAATAATACTTAGTTTTTTTTTAACAGTACAAACCACCTAAGGCTCCCTTTTCTCTCTCTCCCTGCAAGTCATTGGGGGTTCTTAAAAGAGTCAAGGAACAAAGGACAGAAAAAGCAGGAATTAGGGAAACGCCCGCTCAGTGCTTCCAGCTCTGGTAGGGCCACGTGTAGCAAGATGAGTTCATTTGTATTTTCCAGAATAATTTTTTACTTTAAAAATCAGCTGATTTGCATCTCTATTAGGTACAAGTCAACATGTCATTTATGAATTAGGTATAGTGTCTGCGTTTAGAGTTAACAGTTGAACGTGGCAATAGCCACAGGTAGCCAGATTTTGATATGAATCAACAAATTTGGATTTAGACAAAGGTCACAAGTATGTGCCTGAAGTGTTAAATATATATATATTTATTTATTTATTTAAATATTAACTAATAACTGTGGTTTTATGTTTTGTTGTTTTGGTTTGTTTTTGGCTAGCTCATCAGAGTTGTTACAAGCTCAATTAAAGTGCAAGGAATCCTGTCTTACGCCTGTGTCATACTCTTCTATTTTGGGTAAGATTAACTACTCTTGAATATGCTTTGGGTCATACAGTAAAGTTTAAATGCAAGGTGTAATGGAAGTTAATAGCAACCAAATCATATTGGACCCATCCCAACTGTCCTGGGGGTCTCCCTTGAGAGCGTGTATCTCCAGATGCATTTGTGACTCAGTTAATTCTGGTTAAATTAAATCTGCTATTCGGTAGTAGGATTAACAGCACTTTAGATTTTATTTTAATCTTTTAATGTAATCATTTACTTTAAAACCCTTTTGTGCTTAGAATTTTAAGTTTCACTCATTTTCTTTTATGATAAAATCTGCCATTGCAGTCAGACATTTTTCTATGTTTAAAAAAAAACTCTTTGTTTCTACTCTGTTTGCTACATGAGTTATTTAGCACACTCTAGGCGTATGTCATCATAAACCCAAAGGAGATGCAGGACTGTAGTTCTCAGCCTGTGACTGGCTGAACTTTTATCTGCAGACTTGTTGGTCTCCTGCAGCTTATGTCTGCCTGGGAATGACAAACGGTAACAAATTCACGACTAAAACACTAAAATAGTAATAAGCAGTGTGAAGAAAATAATATAAAAAGGCGTTTTTGCCGCCACTAGTTTTCTCAAGGTGTGAATTTATGACAGTAGCCCAGCCGAGCTTTAGATTCACTTACTTCCGAGGCAGAAAGGGGTCCGTCCCTGCGCTCGCGGGCAGTGACGCACCAGGAGCTGTGCTCAGGGTCTGGGTGATTGTCAGAACTGAGTCGTCCCTCGAGGGGGGAAGGTGAGGAGAGAATAAGCCTCGCGGTGGTGACCTCAGCCGGAAATGCACCCAGAATCTGCCCCGGGGACGAAGTCTGCTTTCCAGAGACCTCTGGGTATCTCCTGCTTCATGTTTGGAGTGTGTTTTCTACACTGCCCTCTGCCCAATAACTGGCCTGGCAGGACAGTCACTTCTTACTGTCTACACCGAGCCCGTAGGTCGGGAAGAAGCTTCCCACAGCTTCAGTGCCCCGTTCAGGCAGCACGGCTGATTTCAGTGATGCCCAGAGCAAGAAAGAGTTCAGATCAGACTGTGTGCCATTTACTGGTTTCCGTCTGAATGAACATAGAAATCCTTTACTAGGTTAAGGAGACTCTTTTCAGTTTTTTGCCATGAAAAAACACGAGGTCCTCCTTCCTGGCACAAATGCTCCCTCCGCCCTCCAGAGTTCTTCTCAGCGTTGTTCCTGGTTTATCTCTGCTCTACTGGGCATAGAGTGGGCAGGGACAGCCCAGGAAGGGGCTGGCAGTGATGAGAAGGGAGGGAACCCCTGGAGGCTTCTGAGCAGAGGAGGGGCAGGGTCCATCTGGCTTTTTGCAAGGGCCACCCTGGCTGGTGTGCTGAGAATGACTGGAGTGTAGCGAGAAGAGAAGCAAGGTCAGCCAAGTCATGAGCTGTACAGTCGTCCAGGGAGAGGACCGTGGCTGGGTTTGGGTGGCAAGAATCTGTCAGCTGGTGTTTATGTGAAAGCGGAGGTGGACGAGACCTGCTGATGAATTGATTGGGTGGGAGGTGGGGAAACAGGAAAAATCAAATGTGATTAGAGTTTGTGGCCCAAGCAGTCAGGGTAGAGGAAGTACCACTTACTGGGAGGGGGAAGCCTCTGAGAGATACACGTGGGACTGGGTTGGGTTTTTTGGAGGATTGGAATTGGGATCGAGAGTTCCGATTTGGCTTTACTACCTTGCAGTCCTACTAGCCACTCCTTAGGCAGTGTCGAGGACGCGGTGGCAGGGCTGAGGGATGAGTTCAGGGGGAAGTTGGGATTGGCGGTCAGTCTGGAGGTGTGACGCCCGCAAGCGGAGGGTCCGCTCAGCCTTGGATCTGTGTTTGCATCCGTACCCTTGGAGTTGGGAGGCCGGGGACAGTGAAGGAAGCCTGTTTGCATCTTGCTTTGACCTTCTGCCAGGCTCCTCCTCAGACTTGCCCTCACCGACCTTCAATGTCCTGTTATTGCCTGGAGTTCATCTCAAGAGTAAGAAATGGCCACCCACGTCTTCACTTGCTGAACTAGCCATGGGGTCCTTGGTGCTGTGTCATTCACAGGCCCCTATTTGTGAGAAAATAGCAATGTGAAGAATTTTTTCAAAATTTTTTGCCAGATTTGTTTCAAATGCCTAAAAATGTTGTGTACCTTTTGGCCCAGAAATCCCACTTCTGTGATTATTGGTATTTTGGAATTTATCTTAAGGAAACATGGATTTAATAAAGTTCTGTTAGCCAGAAACTTTTTAATAGAAGCTAAATATTAGAAATAACCTAAAGAATCAGAAATTAAGGGCTTTGGGGGCCTTTGTTATATGATAACCAGGACAGTGAAATGTTCTGAGACCATTAAGATCATGGCACCGAGGAACACCAGCAGGCTGGGAGAATGCTCATGATGTGTTGTCTTGTGGTAGTAAGGTACAAACTAGTTGGCATTTCTGTGTGCCCAGCACTGTTCTGAGCACCTGACTGAAATACACCCCCCCTTTAAGGATTAACTGGTCAAGAAATCCACTCAGGTCCACACCGTACCTAAGCAGTGGAGTCAGGATTCAAACTCATACACTTGGCCCTGAGTCTTTACTCTAAACTCCAGTCCCCTACTGTCTTCTAAAGGGACCCATTTCTGAACAGTGCAAATAGATGTGCACTCAGAGCAGAAATAACTGGAAGATAATAAACTAAACGTCGCAGTGATTAGCAGTGGACTGTGGGATTGTGAGTTTTTTCTTGGTTAGTCTGCATTTGCTAACTGTATTTGTTTTTTAATAAGGGAATAAATGTTAAATAACTTAGTACAAATAGGACTTCTGAGTGAGATAAGTTTCTTCTTAAAATGAGAACTAAGGAGTTTATCAGAAATTTTCCCCCGTTGTCAAAGACGCCTCGGGAGAGGGCTTTGCGTAGGGACCTCGTCCGTCTCAGACTCCGCCCAGCGATGCCCGGCCCCTCCCCGCGCCCTCCGCCCTCTCATCAGCGGTGGAGGTCATGGCGTTCACCGAGGCTGAGATGAGTTCCAGCAGTGGATGGGTGTTTCCTTCTGGTTTTAGGTTGATCTCCCTGAAAGTACTTAACAGCATTGTCCTGCTGGGAAAGTCCTGCCAGTACGTGAAGGAAGCCAAGATGGAAGAAAAGTTGTTCAACCCTCCCCCAGCCGGCGCTGCGGGCAAACCGTGCAGTAAATCGCAAAGTAAATGTAAACCCTCTCAAGGTAGGTTGAGTCCTTCTTACCACTCCTGTGAAACATTATCTAAAGAATTAATTGTCGGAACTCTACATCATAAGAAAAGAAAAATCACTTTTCAGTCAGCTTCTAGCAGCGCTTTCAAGATTTGACTTCACTTTGCTTGGTTGCCGACTGTTAGTGTTTACGCCGCAGAGGTCCTGGCAGGTGCCCCTGCGCACCGCTCCGCCTTTACGTTCATCCTCGCCGCGCAGAGGGGCTGTTGGGCCGCTGTCACCTGGCCGGTCCAGGGATGCGGCCTGGGGGAAGGGCCGAGCTCGGCTGCCGGGAGCTGGGCAGAAAGGGTGGGTCAATGTGCGCGGTGGCGGGAAGTGCTGTCGGGAAGCTAAAGGGGGTCGGGAAAGGGGACGCGGGAGGGGGAACCGGGGGCACTCCCCGGCCGAGGAGAGGACGTCCGAGCAGAGATGGCGGAGCCTTCCCGGGAGGAGCCGCCCAGGCAGAGGCCAGCACGCACCTGCACGGGCCCAGGGTGGGGCGTGCCTGGCACGTCGAGGGACAGCAGGGGACAGGGAGGGTGGAGTGGCGTCTGGAGGAGGCGTCGAAGGGGCCGCCCAGGGCTCCGGGTCACCCAGGCTCTTGTGAGGACCTTGGCTTTGACTGCATGAGAAGGAGTCGTTGCAGGGCTTGGAGCAGAGGAGTGACGCGGCCCAGCAGACATTTTTAAAGGGTTATTTCTCAGTCTTGGTGGAAAACAGACTCAAGGAAGGCGAGCCCAAAGGCGGAGGCCGGCGGGGAGGCTGCCGGGCGCGGAGCTCGGGTCAGCGCGTGAGCGGGAGCCCGGACTCCGCCTCCGGGAGAGCAGGGGCCAGTGTTCACTGCTCAGGTCTGGCAGCGATCGTATTGGGGCTTGGTTTTATGGGACGGCGTTTGTTACACAGCTAAGGGTGTTATTTGTGCGATATGATCCACATAATTAATAGCTTCTGTGTAAAACTCTGGGTGACAGACAGACGGAGTGCAGCCTCTGAGTTTCCTCACTGACTGCGGTGCTTGTGCAGCGTGCTGTTTGGCTATTACTCGCCTGATCCAAAAGCGTGACTGATAGACGCCTTTTTTAACTATATTGGTAAACCTGTGTTTATTTTAAGTTGGGGGAAAATCCTCTAATTATGTGAATCTGTTTTTCCACAGAAGAAAACCTGTCTGCTTCGGTCACCAGCCAGCCTATTCATCAAAAGGAAAATGTCGTACCACTGCTTGTGACAAGCAATTCTGATCAGTTTCTGACGACGCCAGATGGTGATGAGAAGGACATAACACAAGAAAACTCTGAGCTAAAACACAGATCCTCAAAGAAAGATTTGTTAGAGATAGACAGGTTCACAATTTGTGGAAACCGAATTGACTGAATTCTGTGGCTCCTTGTGCCAAAGAGGCAGAGTCCTGGGGTGGCAAATGCTGTAATACCAGGACGGACAGATGCTAAAAGTGGCACTTACATATTTATTTAAAAACTTAAGTTATTAATGGAAAGCAAATCTCAGTGTCCTTCCTCCAGTCGCGTGGTCCGGCTGAAGGTCGGGTCACGTGGGCCAGCCGGCAGTGACCTCCGGCCTTGACTCTGGAAAACTTGACACACGGGGAAAAGTTGCTCCTGCTTGGCGAAGTGGCAGAGTCACCCCCGGCCCGACGGGAGCAGCCTCAGAATCACTTCTGCTTTGTCGGTCTGTGCTTCCAGAACATCAGATTTTGCCTTGAGTCCCTTTCAGTATAAGGATATTCCTGGAAACCTGTGAAGCTCTTACCACGGCGCTCCCTTGCCAGCCTCACTCTATTTCCACAAGCAGTTTTCAGACGTCATTTCATCTGCCAAAGCGTTAAAAAAAGAATAAACTTAAGTCAAGATAAATGTTCTTACCACCAGAATAATCTTTGAAGATGTATCTGAATTAATCAGAATAAAAGGCTACCTTAAATAAGACATAATGAATAGTAGCATTTTATAGGAGAAAAAAAAACTTTAAGCCAGTTTATTTAAAAAATATTCAGTAATGAAGGTTATGCATCACTGAGAAAATGTTTCATACTCTGTACAGCCAAACATGAGCTGTGTATTGTTTAATTACAGTGGCTAAAATAGAAATTCCCTTTAAAAAAGGCACTTTTTATACTGAAAAAGCAGAGCAGTGTTAACTTTAATGTATAATTAACTGGTTTCACTTCAAAACTAATTGCTTCATAAATTGTTACAGTTAAAAGGATTTGGTGTTGAACAGGCTGTCAGTGTACAGAATTCAAAGGTATCAACTTTAACTGGGTTTTCAAAGTAAGTTTTACAGTCAATATCCTAAGTGGACGGGACATCGTCTCTCTTGGGCTTAGAGAATGTGCTCGGCTTTCCATCTGTGCACATGTGCTGGGGATGGGCAAGCTGTGTTGGGGGGGAAGTAAATGGAGTGTTTGGGACATGTGTCTGTGTATGTGTGTGGATGTTGGGAACAGCAGCTAAAAGATGATTTTTGGTTTTATTTGAGATCAAGATTCCATTTCTGCTTAATTACTAGTCTGTGGCCTGCATTATAGGACAAGTTACTTTCCACCACATTTTATCTTGAGAAACCTTTCTGCATTTTTATAAAAATTCTACGATGTCTAATTTCAGGACATCCAGATGTCACTGTTAACTGTTACTCCCTTTGATGTTTTTCCATTTTGAAGTTCAGCTCTCATGCTGATTATTTCTGGCATATGACGTGCAGAAGGTTAAGTTTAGGTGATTTGTCTATTTCCTGGATGAAATGCAAAGCAAGCTTTAATTTGGCTTGTTCATTTGAAAAACAAAAGTGAATTTTAATGTTTTGCATTAAAGCTGAAGAAATCTGAAGATTAATGTTCACATAGGGTAAAAAGAGGAAATTGTACAAAAACAGTTTTGTGAAACCAGGAAGTATTTTAAGTTAAAAATGAAAGACTTTAAATTGCTCTGTATGTGTCAGTGAAGCCCCATTTTTAAATTAGTCTCTTTTCCGTCTTCTCTTCACCATAAGGAACAGTATCCATGAGGAATGGGAATAGTCTGGGGAAAACTTGGCCAAACATAGCCCTCATCAGAGCAAGAATATGATTTGGGTATATCTTCCAATTCAGCTTGAATTACTCTGTTGTGCTGTCATTTTCGGGAGATTTTTTTCTTTTCCAGAATATATTGGGAGTTTGGAATGATGTTCATTTCTTCTGTTAAAATGGCATTCAGTACTAATTTTATAAGTGCATCTTGTGTGAAACTCAATAAATTCAATTTTGTAATCTTTTTTAAAAAGGTCACTGAATTTATTTTAATAGTATTTACTGCTATATTTGCTGGAGTAAATTTCCCACTCTGGTAAGAATTCATTTCCAAGTGACAGGACTAATTCACATTATTCTTTTGGTTTTAATGGGAGCAAAATGTTTGATTTTTGTCTTTAAAAAAAATAGGCTTGTTCTTGATCATAGGCAATTTAATGTCTCTCAGCAAATTAAGGTACTTCATTTTACAGGTGTTTTGAATGTCACACTGTGCTTTTCCACATCTGGGAGTCAAAGTTGACAGTGCTTTGGTTAAAAAAAAACCGAAGTCACATTCATTAGCTGTTTCTTTGGGATAGAAGTATAAATACCAAGGGTCTTTCAGAACTGGTCCAGATTTTCTTTGTACTTTGTACTTTTGTAGTCTGGCTGGCATTTAGACTTTCTGCTCTATACATATACATGCAAGAATCTTGTTATGTATATTTAGAGCTTCAGAAATGTTCCTGCCATTTCTGGTAACCCAGCAGAGAAGGATGTAAAGTCACAAAATAACTTAAAGTCACTGCATTTCGATAGGTTTCAGTCCCATCTATCCATGGAGGTTTGTCAGTCATCTGAGTGTCGGGAATTGCTCTAGGTGCTGGAACCAGCAGTGGGCAAGTCCCTCCCTCCCAGGGGAGACTGGGAGTAACAAGGCAGAGGTAACCGCTGCTGGAGGCAAGTCGGGTGATGACCAAAGGCCCCTCGGGTTTATTTCCGTTTTGAAATATATTTCTTTAACTTTTTAACAAAAATCTGATTTTTTTTCCTATTGGATTTGCTTAAAATCAAGCACTAGTATAGCAGTTTCACACTGCTTCTATAAAACAAAGACAAAAACACTTTTGCACTAAATACTGCTGGTTGTCCACCAGCATCTTCTGTTGCATAAGCAGAGTTGTCACTGGGCTCGCAGCTGCCTGGCTGGGGACTGCGTTCCCTTGTCCCTCTTGCTGAGACATGTGGCCAGGTGACTAATCTCACCAAGAGATGGAAGCTGAAGGGCATATACCATCACGAGGCCCCTCCACCAGTCCCCGTCCCACCAGCTGGACCCTAGAGGAGGTGTGCCCTCACCCCAGCCTTGCAGATCCACGCATGGGGCCTCCTGGGTCCCAGAACGCCTTTGCGAGTGGAGTTGTCATCAGCTTGGAGCCCTCAGATTAGACTGTACGAGAGAGAGATCTACATGCCTTTGGCTCTGAGCCACTGAATCTGAAAGTTCTGTATCACAGCCCACATTCATACATGGAAATCTAGAAGGGCTATTTCGGGAGCTTCACATAAAGGAGTGGATGTGAGACCTAACGTCCTTGAACACATGCTTCTGAAAATACTCTTTGGATGTTTACTATTAGTTGTTTATAGGGAAAAAGGTAAAACGACCGCGCCCCTCTTACTCAGCGGTCGGACCTCCAGCACCCTGGGCCATCACGACCTGAACATCACAGTGTTGACAAGTGGCCAAGTACTGTTTGTTCGCGTCTCTACAGAGCAGGCGGGCCTTGCCCCTTGTCTCTCAGGAAGTTGTGTATACAGTAAGCGTAGACTGTGAGTACAGCCTGACAGCATAGAAATTTGGAAATAAAAGTTCATGTATCAATCAGCAAAATCATGATCATCTGGGGCCAGTTTGAGGCAAATGGTACTGTGCACGTGGCGGCTGAGACGCGATCCCTGTGTCAGTGCAGGGTGCTACTCGGCACCCAGTGTGCCCGAGGCACCTGGGGTGGTTTAGATTATGTTGAATCTGATTAAGGAGGAATGGGAACAGTTGAGAGGGGAAGTCATTAAAAAAAGGAAATCGATGTGGTAAGGGAGTTGGCAGTTCTGAGAAGTTTGCTTAGGAGCAGTGGGTGCAGCTGCACGGAGCAAACACGACCTCGCTCTTCCCAGTCTCAGTAAGAAAAGGAAGTCAATGCGCATGGCAGGTTGAAAGTCGTTTCAACTGCATCCCTTAAAAAAGAAGGGAAGGTATCTGCACAATGTACTTTGCCTTTTAACAGCCTTCTTTTTGGCAGATGAGGAAACTGAAGGTCTTGAGGGTACACTTGGCACATTTTTAAGGGAATTAAATCAGGAATGACCGTATATAAGCTCTTGAGGAGTGAATCCCCTGCAAAACATGTTACTTTTGAAACTGCAAGTACTTTCAACAAGCATATTTCCATTTCATTTTAGGTATTCGACATAAAAATCTAAATACCAGGGAAAGTCAGAGATAGCTATAACGTCAGGGGGTTAACTAGATATAAGCGAAATATGACAAACACACAAATAGCTTGGTGGACTTGATGTGACAGATGTCACTGGCACAGTCACCGTGCACAGCACAGAACTGAATGAGTTGTGCTCTCTGCTCAGAGTTTGTCCGCTGTCTGGTGGGGGGACCACCTGCTGAGGTAAGTGCTACCACAAACATCAGTGCAGGTGGCAGCAGAACGTCTCATTCAGACGTTTCGCCGTGTTCACTGCAGCCCAGCATCTTGTACAGTTCCCGGCACATGGATGCGGCCAATGAATATTCATTGAATGAATAAATGTATTGGATGCATCACCTCACTGTGGAGGATGTGCACTTGGGCAGCTTTGAAAAAGAGTTGGAATTAAGTGGGTTTAAAAAAAAGAAAGGTAGGGCAAGCCAGAAATAAACAAAGGAGGAAAGAGCACAGCAATGTCTTCCGGCACATGTCTTCACCCACTCGGGATGTTACCGAAGGCAAGTTCGTGTGCCCGCCGCTCCATGAGGCCAAACAAACTGAAACATCGAAATCTGGAGCAGAGAAAGGTTTATTGCAGGGTTGAGCAAGGAGGATGGGGTTGCTTATGCCCAAGAAAACCCCGAACTCCCTGAAGGGTTTCAGCAAAGCATATTTATAGACCAGATGAGGGAGGGGGTCGCAGGGTGCATGATCAGCTCATGCACAAATCTCTGATTGGTTGATGTGGAGGGAACAGGGCAGTCAACACTATCAACCCCTGGGCGCCGGAAGGTCTGGGGGCTACGCCTTCTCAATCATCAAGTAATTTCTTCCCTTTAGTGATGGTTTTAAGCTTCTGAAAAACTCAGGAAATATACATGAGATACTATTATCCAGGTGCTTCAGAGAGGAGCTGCAGCAGAGCATATAGGGGAGGAGTCTGAACCTGGAAGGCCCCACAGGGTCCTGCTCCGTTACAGGGATCTGTATCTGAGCGCCTAGTAGGTGCCAACCATCACGCTGAGAATTTGAGGAAGAATAGCTTCGTCCTGGGGGGAACTTGGAGAAGGAAGCAGTCGCTAGATCTTGGAGAGATTTTAATGCCTTACCAGGAATCTTAACTTGATCCTGTAGGCAAAGGGGGGAGCTCAAGTGCAGCTTTAAATTGCATTGTTCTAACTATCAAATGAGATGGAAAATGAAAGAAAAAAAAAAACCCAAATGAAAAAACAAAACTGCAGGCATACATCGTTTTATTGTGCCTCGCAGATACTGCATTTTTTACAAATTGAAGGTTTGGGCCGTGCAACAAGTGAGTCTATCAGCACCATTTTTCCAACAGTATTTGCTCACTTCATGTCTCTGTGTCACATTTTGGTAATTCTCAAAATATTTCAAACCCTTCACCAAAAAGATTACAACTTGCTGGAGGCTCAGATTATGGTTAGCATTTTCTAGCAATAAAATGTTTTTTAATTAAGGTATGCACATTTTTTCATTTTTTTACTGAGGTATAGTCAGTTGACAGTGTGTCAATTTCTAGCGTACATCATGTTTCAGTCATAAATATGCATACAATCTTTTTTTTAATACACTGCTATTGCACACTTAGTAGACTACAGTATAAAATAAACATAACTTTTAGATTTACTGGGAAACCAAAAAATGTGTGCCTCGGTTTATTGAGGGACTGGCTTCACTGCGGCGATCCAGCACTGAAACTGCAGGAAAAAAATCTCCGAAGCGCCGGCATACTTTGTAAACAACAAAGTGTTATATAACTTGCCCAAGATCACACAGGTAGCACATTATCAGAGCAGGAAGTTAAACCCCTCCCCTAACTAGAAAACCCGTGCTTTCAACCTCTGTGCTCTCTGCTGCTGTGAAAAGAGGGAGAAGCAGAGGCAGAGAGACCCCTTCAGCAGGCAACTGCGGTCCTCCACACCAGAGGAGCAGGGGGTAAGGGATGGGGAGTGTGGTGACCTTGTGATGTTGGATGTCTAGGATGTTGACCCCTCTAGGAAGTCCGAGGAGGGCTAGCTGGCTGAGCGGTGTTGGGTCAGGGACTCCTGTGTGACACTGCAAACCTCAGTCTGCTCATCTGTAAATCGGGCTTGATCATCTTCTCAGGGTTGTTTGGAGGAGCGAAGAAGATAATGCATCTAAAACTTAGTGTGTAAATGATAAAGCGCTATACAAACCTAAGCTGTGCCACCCATCATTCCCCGAGGTCTCACAGCCCGGATGAGTGGTCCTCAAAGTCTGGCGCCAGACCAGCTGCATCCCATCACCTGGGAACATGTTAGAAATGCAGATTCTTGGCCCCTTCCCAGCCCTGCTGAATCCAAAACTCTGGGAGAGGGGCCCGACAATCTTTTTACAGCCCTCCAGGTGATGGGCATGCACGTTCAAGTTTGAGGCCCCGTGGCCAAGAACCATCCCCTGTCTAGGATCTGGACCTCAGAAGTTCGGCGCCAAAACCAACTCCATCTGCTTTTCCCAAGGTAAAGACTGAAGAGCCTAAAATAGGATTTGGGGAATGACGCGGGGGTGGAGGGAGCCCCACCCACCCCGGGGAGCCCCACCCACCCCTGCCATCGAGAGCGGGGTTGGGGAGGATCCGTGGACTGAGGTGGTGGCCCCCAACGAGCAAATCATGGGAAGCCCAGGCACCGGCTACATTCTTTATCCTCCAGCAGGAAGTCTTAACTCCTCTGCAGAGCTCAGGGCTGCTGCAGGAGGTGGGGCGGGTGAAGGGGTGCAGGGGCCCAGGAACAAGGGAGTTGGG